AGAGAAAAAAAAAAAGGAAGAAGAAGGAAAGGAAGGAAGGAAGGAGGTGTTTAAAGAAAAGGGGAAGGGTGTAGAGTTAACAAAAGGAATGTTTGCCTCCTACAGTCAGCCACGACTCACCGAACCCTTCAGTCAAATCACTGGCAGCCTCCGCCCCTCTCTGACCATTTAGAGGGTCACAGGTTTACACAGTAAAGTTACCTCATCTCTCTTGGCCACCGGAAATTCTGCCTCCCATGACAGATTAAAAGGTATTTTATACTGAAATGTCAGTCATCCAGAAGCAGTTAACATGTTTGTGGCAGAGGCTGTCTGAAGAAGACAAAGCCTTACTGGGAATGATTTCATCTAATGGTGGAATTCAGGGCAGTGTGGCAATAGGAAGAGGCGATCTCTGGGAAGACCTCCAAGTTCGCAGTGGCTCTAGCAGCCCCGAGGCAGCCCAGGAGGAAAGAGAAATCTCCTTCCTATCTTAGGTCTCCATGCAAGGCAGCTGGCCCTCCCAGGCACATCAGAGCTCCAGGCTCTTCGGTTCCCTTGCTCTGAGGGATCTGTCTGTCCAACTGTCAACCTGTCACTTCAGCTCTGCTCCAAAGTTGTTGCGTAGATGTGGCTTCATCACCTTCCATTTCTAACACTGAGGAAGGATCTTTCTGAAGAGAGCGGATTGTTCTTCTGGATGATAACAGATAAGTTCTGTGTTGCGGGGAGGACAGAGGGGAGGGTCCAGGAAGCAGACAGGACAGGTCAAAACATTAGAACGTGTCCATTGACAGATGACTGGATAAAGAAGCTGTGGTATACTACTCAGCTATAAAAAAGAATTAAATAATGTCATTTGCAGCAACATGGATGGACATGGAGATCATCATTCTAAGTGAAGAAAGCCAGAAAGAGAAAGAAAAATACTGTATGACATCACTTGCGTGTGGAATCTAAAAAAGGACACAAATGAACTTACAAAACAGAACCAGATTCACAGACACAGAAAACAAACCTATGGTTCCTGGGGGGAAAGGGGGTGGGAAGGGATAAATTGGGAATTCAGGATTTGCAGATACTAACTAATATATATAAAATATATATACAACAGGTTTCTTCTGTATAGTTCAGGGAACTATATTCAATATCCTGTAGTAACCTATTATGAAAATGAATATATGTATGATTGAAACATTATGCTGTACACCAGAAATTGACACATTGTAACTGACTACACCTCAATAAAAAAAAAGAAAAAGAAAAAAATTTCAAATACAAAAAACCCCAAAGCATTAGAATAGTCATCACCCACTTTTCCATCCATCCACTCACTCACCCATCACCCAACCCCTCGCCCAGGCTTGCACCCATTCATCCACCCATTAGTGACCCACCTACCCACCTATTTTTTCATTTTAATCATATATTTTATTTAACTAAATATATGAAAAATGTTATTGTTTTAATTTGTTTTTTTTAATTGAAGTACAGTCAGTTACAATGCGTCAATTTCTGGTGTACAGTACAATGTTCCAGTCATGAATATACATACATATGTTCATTTTCATAATTTTTTTCCTATTCACCTATTCATTCATCCATTCATCCACCCATCCACCCACTCTAAACACCTACCCAACCCTCTACCTGGCCACATAACTGGAGACTGCTGTGGCTCCAGCCCATGCAATGCACTGGGAATGCAAGCATGAGTCCCATCTACTCCCTGGTTTTAAGCCCTCCCAGCCTAGCTGGAGAGACATCCACAGGCATATTTCACTGCATGATTCTGTGATCCCAAGAGAGAGATGCAGGAAGGCCATTCCTAAAAGTGGGAATAGCGTGGGTGGATTCTGGGAGGCATAAGAGAGGTGAGTGTGGTGGAAAAATCGGGTGGATGAAAGGATGAGGTGGAAGTTGACACTGGAAAGATGAGCAGGGACCTTTCCTTCCTGGCCTTGGAAAGCCAAGGGTGACATTTGAGCCAAAGAGCCAGTACCCTAAGAGTGTGGCCAGAGACCTGGGAGTGGCCAGCCCGCTCTTGCTCCAGGCCTCAAGGAGACATGAATGGCAAATCTGCCGGTGATTCAAAGAAACAGAAAGACTCCAAATCTCAGAAATGAAGCTTTGAGGGAACTGTCTCTGAGATGGATGGACAGATGGACAGATGGATGGATAGACGGCTGGCTGGTGTGCAGATGCAATCATGAACTCCAGTCCATGCCACATGCTCTGGGGACATGTGCAAGGGACCCAGTGTGGTTTGGGGCCATTAGGCACGTGCATCCCCACGTGCCTGGTTTTGCAATGCTGGGGGGGCTGGCAGGATGCAAGGCCACATTGCCAAGGGAAGAGGAGGGAAGGGAGTGCTGGGCAGCCGTACTGGAGAGCATCTCTAACCAGAAGGTGGAGGTCACTTTTAGCTAGGGCTCTAAGAATTTCCTCTAGGAAAGGAGATTCTGAAATCTCCTGAGTATAGCTGAATATTTTTATCTAAGAAACTATCCTGGGGCGGGAGAGGGGAGTGCTATAGCTCAGTGGTAGAGCGCGTGCTTAGCATGCATGAGGTCCTGGGTTCAATAACCAGTTACCTCCATTAAAATAAATAAATAAACCCTAGAAAGAAAGAAAGAAAGCCAGCCATCCTAGACTCCTTGTCATAAGCATTGGACACTGTTGGCTCTGTGAGATGGTGTTGTCTTGCATAGGGGACCAAGAGCCAGCAGGACAGTCGAGGATGTGCAGTAGGGATGACATGGCTGAACCAACCCCTGTGCTGCATACTTCCAGGTGTCAGACCCTGTCGGGAAAAGGGGACAGCTTAAACAGCTCAACATGAGGTCAGTATAGTCAGATCGTGGGGCACCAGAGGGACCTGGGGTAAGGGGACGGTGTGCCAGGAGGCCCTGGGGTGCCAAGAGCTGTGGAGGGGGCAGCAGCTAGTAGATGGGTTAAGGCAGGAAGCTGAGGGCAATAGGATTGCAGGGTGAAACTTGGGGTCCCCCAGATCCAGAGAGTCCCCTTGGCAGCCCCATCCCAAGTGGTCTCCAGGCAGGCAGAGGCCAGTCTTACCACCCCTCCTTCACCCACACTATTCAGCTGCTTGATGGGGTCCTGTAGTCAGCACTTGCTGGGCATTGCCTGGAAGCCCAGCCCAGCTCAGCCCAGTGCAGAAACTGGGGGCCCCAGACAGAACAGATATGCAGGCCCTGCCTAGCAGGGAGACAGGCGCTTCTGGGTGATAAGGCTAATGAAGGGAGGGTCTCTCCAGGGTGTGGAAGTGCCAGAGGCAGGAGGCGGGAAAGGTTTCCCCTACCTCATGGGTGACACCAAGCTGGGTCTTGAAGGGAAATTAGGAGAGGCTGAGGATGAGAAGTGGAGGAAGGCATTCCAGACTGAGGGGATGGCACAGGCCAAGACAGGGAGGTATGAGATGAGAAATAGAAAGATGGGAATGAGGCATGCTCCTGGTGATGGGGGTTGTGAGGGGCCAGAGCCAGGAACCAGAGCAGGTGGACCAGGAAAGAGGAAGCCCTTTGGGCTGAGACCTCACTGCCTGAAACGCCTTGAGAGCAACCCAGGTGTGGGGGTTCCTGCATCCCTCACCTCAACCTGGGATCTTACTGCTCCAATCAGCAGAAAGAAAAACTAGGGCGGGGAGAGAAAAAAGCCATCCTTCAGATCTGAGCCCGTGTGTGTGCTGTAGGCAGGTCTGTGGCCCCCGGGGGCAGGTGGGGGGGCGCTGTTGCCTCCCTGTT